CCAATTAGTATGCGTTCATCTTGATATTCCAAATGTGTGTCTGAGCTAACGGTAATAAACGTACATGTGAGTGACAGGAAATGAACTTTTTGTCAATTAAAAAATTGACTACACTAATAATATTGAAATTTTGGTTTGCTTTTCTGATATACAACGCATACCATAATTACTTTTAATGTACAATATTTCAGTCTTTTTTCGTAATTGTTTTCAATTTCTATAAATCTGGTTTGCAATTTTTGGTGGTATCAATGTGACTGGAGTTGCAACCTGTGAATTTACAATAAATTGTATGGATACTATTTTATTCAGTGGTTGGGGATGGTGTCTTTCAGGTTGTAATATATTCAGACAACTGTTCAATGGAAGTTAATAAAAAACATATAGATGCGGGTTTGTAGTTTGTCAGCTATTCTATAAAATCAACTATGTAGTTTGTTTTCAGATGTAAATATGTTTCTTACTCCTCGAGAGCGAACATTTCTACTTTTCAAATGTTCCTCACCACGCACTGTTGGTACCTGTATTCGTCGATTATCTATGTAAAGTAAATTATTGGAATAGGGATTCTGTAAATCGAGAAAATTTTTGAAGTTTATATTTTTTGTCCATGTAGGTTTCTGTGTTTTCTAATGCACAAATGAAAAAAATTCAAATACGAGTACATATTACTAATCGCACTAGCTGTCTTCTAGTAACGAACCTCCATTTTCCAGGCTAGACTAAAGGTGTAATTTGGGTTTCCAAGTGCAATTTTATACCTTTGGAGTACAAAAGCTGACAACAACATTAATAATAATAATAATAATAATAATAATAATAATAATAATAATAATAATAATAATAACAATAATAATATTGTGTCTCTGTATGTTTGTGTGCGTGTCCATTACATAATTTCATTTTACCTCATCCCACAGGGTTTACAACCTTGGGGTGTAAAACTGGAATCAGCATTAAATGCTGATCCCTACAATAGAAAAGGAAAGTGGACCTACCACAATAATGTTGAATGAATGATGTTTGAATAATAATAATAATAATAATAATAATAATAATAATAATAATCGAACTCTTAGAAGAAGAAAAATGTATTACTCTGCAGAAACTATACAGAGATGAAGAGAACAGCGGAGAATAGATTGTCATTGCGGCAGCGACAAGGTACTTTTTGTCTTTAGGATAGTGGCGATGATAATGATGTTGGATATAATTAGGTGGTCGGTCTTAGGAGGCGCAGGACACTGATTCGTTATTCAACAAAAACCCTCACGTCACAGAGAACATCTCCGCGTCGATAACCCGGACTTGATGTTCTTGACAAGGCAAGGTAAGGAAGTGATCTCTAATTCGAAAATTTAATGTTAGGTGTCTTATGTAAATTATCGAAATTAAAGAAAATAAAAATTTTAGATCGTTATTTAAGGTTTATAGATTTTCATATTATGTATTTTGGTGTTACCTTGGTTTCGTGTGACATTTTTTGCCTTTTCCCTCCTTATTTATAATTTATGCGTAATTTTTAAGAGCCTAAACATACGACTGTGGTATTATTTATCAAAAGGAGTTGAAAAGAGCGTACTGAATGGGTGTCCCCTCAAAGTCTTTTGCCACCTCACCCTCATGTATGCGAGTTCTCGGCGCGACTTTTTCTTCTCAATCCTTTGGGCTCTGTATTAAATACGAGAGAAAAGTCGAGAAGGAATTTAGTCAAATTTCTATACAATTTAGCATAGAAACAAGTTTCTAAAACACGCCAAAAACATTTGGTACATTTAAAATAATCAAATTTGAAATGAACAACAAATACAATACTTCAATAATTATTTCAGAAGATCATCAGAAAAAAATTATGAAGACTTAAAAATAACGAACTGTACGAGAAATTTCTACCAGTTCACTCAGCAAGAAAGGTTAAAAATTAATGCAACGTACCCAAAAGACAAATTTCGCCCACGGCAGATACACAGCAGTGAAATTAAAATGAAAGAGCTCAAGACAAATCATTCAACTCATTAAAATCACCTTGTTATACCAATTCAAAACTTTAAAGACTTAAAAAAAATATGAATCAAGACTAGCACACTAGGAGCTAGAGAGACCACCGCATTAAATGAAGTCCTCACCTACCTCTGCACTAACCCAGTTAATGATGGATTTATTACATGCTAAACAAAAACGCAAAATCTATATGATTTGCCACATAGCAAACAAATATGTCAAAAAACTAATTTTGCAGCAAAAATTTTCACACCTTTCCCCCCCATATTTTTGACATTTAATAATAAATTTTGTAGCAATTTGAAATGTTCGAGTTCGTAAATGTCCTACATGCCTCAGGAGCATATCATGGCGCAAGATTCCTCTGTACAGATTTACGATCGCATCGTGAATATTTTTATTGGGGATCAGCTTACTGTTGTACCTATTAGGGATAAGATTACCGGTTATAACCCAAAACTCTTGATTAATAGTTTTTGTTTTTTAACACGGTTTATAAGTTTTTATCGAAATTTAACAACCGGAGAAAGCAGTATTAGTGAAATAGATACATTAAAGAAATTTAGAACTCAGTACGTGGTATATTATGTGGTTAAATTGATAACACTATGTTAAGGAACAAAGGAGCATTTTATGTTCTATTTTTTATTATTCGTATATTTAGATGCGATAATGAAAATATATTGCAGTGTACATGTGTAAAACTTAAAGTTTGTTTTTATATAATTCTAGTATCGACGTAAAAAGTCTGTTTTTTTACCAATAACCAGTTCTTTTGAGCGTTTATAACAGCCGGCTTAAATCGGATGTGAAAAAAATAAAATGCAATGACCTAAAACAAGTTTTGTTGTACCCGCCATCCCTAAACTTAACTCTACATCCGAAAGTACCTCGTTTCGCCACCTTTGGTGCTCCTCAAATTTCAGCGCCATTCGACGGGACTCATTACACTCAAGTATACAAATCCGAATATAATTTCCAGTAATGATCATCATCATTATCACCAGTCACCGGTACAATTTTCGACATCATGCGTCATTAATTCATGCGTTCGTGACACATGAATAGTAATAGACACGTGATAGTAGTTTACTCGACTCAGGTGAGAGAGCAATAAAATAAAATTAATAACTGTATAATATTTTAAAATAAGTAGGAAATATTCTTTATACAACATTAACAGGCACGTAGAGGAAAAAATTATAGTAAAAACAGTTATTTTGCGGAGGTGTGGTTAAATTTTAATGTTATGATTTAAGTATTAGTCGAAAGAGTAGAATACATAGAACACACAACTTTCTTGGCCATTTTTTTTGTCATCTTTTGGACAAATCTCTGCCATTTATATATTCAGTGAAATAATTCGAAGGATTGAAAATGATTGAAAAGTTATCGACTCGCACAAATAACGAGATTTCAATTGCACATGTTCATGGATATTTAGATACCAAAGATTAATTAAATGAGAGAGTTGTGTAAACTTTATTAAAACGCCCACCAATCTTATTAAACTCTCTATGAATATGAATCTTTTAACAAAATACTATCGTTTTCCGATATTTTTACAATCAAGACTATATTTCGGCCCTTTTTACTTTCTTTGCTTCTCTCGCTCTTCAAAAAATGAAGTGATGTAAAAGTATTTGACAATATACATTTTAATTACATAATATAATTTATGTATAATATAATGCATAACCAAATTTTGTCTTTGATAAATTTTGAATTATAGTTAATGATCAAAAGTAATTTTATATCCAGTCGTTTACTGCAAATCGAGGATTGATAAACTACTCACAATCGCAGTTTGACATGGAATTTGTGACATAATAAAATCGTACATAATATTGTGATTTCTACGAAAAGATTTATTTTGAATTTTTTATTATTAGAATAATTTTCGACTTTAGAATGAAATTTTGTTAGTCTGAATTATTTTTTATTACTACAGCTGATGATACAATTCCCTGAATGGAGCACAGTACAGATTAGCTTCATTCCGTCAACACATACACAAAACTAATTTTATCCTTTGCTTTCTGATAATATCCTCTAATCTTATATTCTCCGTCCACTCGTGCGGATTTCACTAAAGGCTCGGTGAAGCAGTAGGTCTCAAATTGGAGATGCGTGGATCTACGCCATCGTAGAATTTTGAACTTTCTTCGCGACAAGAGACAGAATTAATAGTAAGCAATTCTTCTCGCTAATAATCAAATCCAGACGCTCTGGATGTCACTGGGAAATCTATTAGACCGAAAACTGCAGCCCACCTGACAGCAGCGTGCAGACTTAAGAGGTTTTTAATTTTCCGCACGGGGCTGTCAGTGGCCGATGAGCGCTCAAAACGACCCCCTGGAGGGTCGACGAGCGTTCAGAGGCAAGTGAAACGTCACTTAAGCTCCAAGAGCGGAGCTTAGATCACCCTATCCGCTAAGAAATGGTTCACTAAAATTACTTCAAAACAACCCTCCTAAAATCTACAGAATACGCACAGGGCATCGAGGACGCCAAAGAGACGTTCGGGCAGAAGGAAAAAGGTCCCCATTAACAGTAATGAGAAAGCCGTTTTCTTTATTTGTGTGCAGTAAATTTCATAACTGCCTCAATTATTTTGTTTCTAAACATCGTTATTTTTTTACCAATCGGGGGGAAATCTGTTCATGCGGTACAATAAGAACGGGCTTCATTGATGGAAATGTAATTAGCGTAAAATGATTAATTATCCCAATATTGGAAATGAAACTTCGGTGTTTATTATGCATGGTTGCAGCTGTAATAAAAATTTGATTCCAGAAAGGAAAAAAAAGTGAGACATCTAAACTTTGTTTTCTGCACATTTGACAACTTTCTCCCAAAGAACGTCGGAACTTTGAGCCACCAATTTGAGCAAAGTTTATCCGCGGTCCTTTTTGTTCTTGGACGTCCCGAGCCATGTGACAGCCATCCCAGCCGTCTCCAGAGGCGACGGTGGGGACCGCGACCGCAGGCGCCTTTACCTGTTGATTCAGCCTTTGGCCTTCGAGGATGTAGCTGGTCTCGTCGGCGCCGCGCTTCGGCGTGGAAGGCGCCTCCGGGTTCTCCATGGCGACGTCGGCGGCGGGGCTCGAAGGGAGCGGAGGGCTCAAAAAGGGCGCCGGGCGCTCGAAGGGCTTACAAGGATCGAGAGGGGGGAGCGGAGACAAGAGGCTGTCCTCGAGGCGTGCGACCGAGTCTTCACGGCGGTCCGCGCAACGCGCGCCGTCCGACCACCGCGCTGCGACCGTTGGCGGGAGCGCGCAACCTCGGCCTTTCCCAGCGCTGCTCGCCTGTCGACAGCGCCGCTCCGTCTTCGCGCGGCGTCTATTGATTGCGAGCTTCCGCCGGCCGCCGCGTGGCTGCGCGCGTCTCGCTCCCGCTGCGCGCCCGCCAGCGCTGCGGGGAGCCCTAATTCGCGCTGAATATTCCCTGCTGGCGCAAGGTTGACGGGTGACACTCATGCCATCTACATGCCGACGCTGGAAGTATTTATTTAGGAAAGGACACCAGATATGCCGGGAAATATGACGTGCCATTTATACCGGACTCTTGGATCTAAAAAATTGAAATGTCCTGGTGCATCTCATTTCTCTAATGAAAAGGAAAACGGACAAAACAATTGCACACGAAGGTACAGTTCAACGAAACGGTATTCGATTCTTTCGCATATCCTGATAATCGCAACATTTTATGAAATCGCTTTTTACAATCTGTCTAAAGGGAGTGACTACTTGCACATGCATTCGTGATAATCAAAAATCAAGATAAATACTATTAACACACCGTAAACGAAATACATGAAGACACTGAATTCTTAATTTGTCCTTGCTCATCAGACAGAACATGCCCTTCCCTCTTCCACTCAAGAAACCCAGTCCCTCAATCGCAACTGTTCTTATCGCTCGGTGTATTTGTTGTCCCATAGATGGCAAGACCGTAGCTGCTCGCCGTTCGATATTCAATATGGCGCCGTCGTAATTGCCGGAATTGGGCATGCTGTCCGCGGGGGCCGCGCGCCGTCCGTCGCTGGTAGATGGCCTGCGCGTGGAGCGGATGTGCCGGGGGCGGATTTCCCAGCGGGCACGCGTCGCTCGGGAGCTGAGCGGTTCGTTTGGAGAGACGGCGCCGGTGGCTCGTTTTGAAAGCGGGCTCACAGTCGTGATTAAGGGCTGCGCTGCTTAAAGAAGTCATGTTAGAAAGTCATAATGATGTAATTCTCACAAATAAGTTTCTATTCAGCATTCTGTGAGTTACAGAATGCTTCGTCATTAAAAAATATACACTGTCAGAAATGACATTAAATCTAGGGTAGATTAATGTATTGTATATGAATCTTAATGTAACCTTGTACATTAAAGTGAGCTTAATATTTTATACATTAATTTAATACACAAGTTAAAATCAGTGTAGATTTAATAATGAACTTTTTCCTTGCCTCTCATCATCCATCTCATATATTCATAATCACCAGTCCATCAAGATTCATTTCTTCCAGATATGAGCATACAGCATTGAGTCTTGTATCCTAATGCGCATGTGTACATTAAATTTAATTTGTGTATATGATAATTGCTTTAATGTAATTTACAAAAACACCAACGAGCAGTCCTTAAAATGGATTCGTTGCGGCCAAACGAACGTTCTCCAGCTACAGAATTGGACATTAGTATTCACCACAATAATGGCATTTTAGAAGAAATAAACTTACGTACGTGGTAGGTGCAAATGCTGTTTTCGTGGAGCATGATCGCACGTGTTGTGCCGCGTAGCTAGTGACGAGTTGGGAAGGGCTAGTGACTGAATGGGGGTTAGGGACCTATGCCTCTCACCAAATTCAACATTTTTTGTTATTGAACTAAATTGCAGAGACCCAATGTCATATGCTATTAGTCAATGCTGCCACTGATACTGCAGACTCTGACTGGGAGGTCTTAATGTTCGTGTCTCGATGGTGGCTGATTTCTGACGCTAGCTACTTAGCTAGGTCGAATTCAGCTTGTATTTGGAGGAGAATTCTAGCGGCCAGTTGCTCTAATCAGTAGTTTTCCATGGTTTCTCAATGACGAGGTATCGAACTCTGCCACCCTGATATAGGGATATATGTTTTTGAGCGGGGTGCAGGAAACGCGATAAGACTATGGTGTGCAAGAAATGTTCGTCAGCTTTGTATCTAGTTAGGCTGGGGCTCTATGAAACATGACTAAATACGAGGTTACTACTTCTTCGTAAACAACCGCTCATAGTTGATTCGCGGTTTCCGAGAAGCGGGGAAAGGGGGAGGTAAGTTTGACACTTCACTGTAATGGTCCGGAGGCAATAGAGGCACATTATTACATGACTTTGTTAGAGGAAATTTAGATATTTCGTCAACAATACTATCAATAGTCTTTTTGCGTGTTCTGGAAATAGTGAGCAGATTCCTTCACGGGAGGGGGCAGGGAGCACGAAAGAAAACGAACGAAAAACCATTCCTGTAATTTGCTGTTGCAAATATTTATTACATGCAGAGAATATTGCGTGATATCAAATTTTGTCAAAAACGCTGGTTGCTTCAATATATCATTACCAATACATAATTATCGTATTATACATATTATCGTAGTATATATCATTACCAATACATAAATATCAGTATTATAATATAAATTACATATATTTATAAATTAATAATATAAATAGTAAATAAATATTTAATTCTATTTTTAATATTATACTTTTGCAGCAGAATGACAGGATTTAAATCCCATATTTAAATCCTCTGGAACATTCCTTTAGAGTGAAACTTTTTCGAGATGTTTATCTGAAAATTTCCGCAAACTGGCGCATAACTTCCAGATTGCTTTTTATTTGTTTAATATTTGTCACCCTTGCAATTTGCTCTAGATATTTATCTTGTCCCACCCGTTGAATGATACCTCAAATATTTGTTGTAAAACCCCGTTTCCCAAATGATTTCTCAAACAATATCTGCAAGTGTTGATGGAAAAATCCATTCTAAATAACAAAGTAAACGTTCATTGATTCATTTTATCTGCGCACTGTTCAAGGGATACTTGCTGGATTCATTGCACAGATATTTCGGAAATTTAAGAAACTCTTTTGTGTTTTTGTGTATTCTGAATGTGTATGTGTATTATGAAATGAATTTACGGAGATATTTTCTTTAATTTTGTCTAATTCAAGTATAGGACAGAATTCTTTTATTTTTTAGTTTTTTAATTGAATGTAAAATTGACTAAATAATGTACGGATTTTTAATGTGGATAAGATAAGAATTGACAGACCTATACATTTACCACGCATTTTAATACAACATTACAGGATCTATATGTAATTATGCGTACGGGACAGGAATTTTATTAAAGTCAACTAAATACTTAATAGCAATACAATAACGAATGCAAAAATAGATAGTTCATATACCTTTTCGCAATTCAATTTCACATACTATTTGTCAATACTTTTATGGCTTATGATATTCTATATTTTCGGGGTATTAATTTATAAATATTTCGTGAAAGTTATTCTGTTTTGCATTACATAAATGAAAGCAATGAAATCAAATATATTTGTTTAAATTATCTACTGTACGAATACTTTTTCCTATGACTATGTGGTATGCGAAAAAAGTCAAAACATTAGGTGTCCGAATAAAGTAAGGCCAATTTGGTATTGCTTTCAAAAATTGCTTGCAGCTAAGTTCTATTTAACACATTTTTCACCCAAATATACTCCACATTTTATTCGTGGAATAATATTCATAAATACCACTCAAAAAAATTCCTTCGTTGCAAAACAGCTCTGAAAATTACAGAATTTTTCACCTTAGAGGTGGTGTTACCCTTGAAGACAGTTTCAATGCCTTTTACAAACCACCATACCACTACAAAAAATATTTTCAGATATATCTCAACATTATTTAGATAATAAAACGGAGAAGAATGGGTCGAAGAATACCATAAAACGTTTCTTTCTATGCTTAAACTATCTGAGACAAATCATTGAAAAGTAGCGACACACACACAGACCGCGATATCTGACCCTTCGTTACAAGTCGAATCGACTACTTACTGTCGGTGAACGTTTGAGTTTCCGTCGGCCTCAGTATTTCTTTACAGCCTCTCTGACGATAAGCAAACCCGAACCTGTTGCGTCGCTGACCAATTCTTACGCGACCTTGCCTTGAGCAAGTCTGAATCCGGTTTCTTCTGGACTTCGACCACAGCGCGATATTCGCTACCCAAACGTGGAACTACATTTTTCAGACAAATAAAATGTTTAAATGTGTCTATTTTTAAAATTTATAAATAAATGACCGAACATTTGTATTAAAATACAAAACTTTTGATTGCTCGGAAAGTAAGGAAAAAGCAATTAACATAAACTTTAAAATACAATAAAAAGTTAAAATACAAATAAACGTCTCTACTACAAAAGAAAATGTAGGGTGTCCTCTATTTAGCTCATTCCTTTTCGCCGTCTCTTTCTCCTTCCCTCCTGCTCAAGCAGGTGGTCACGTTAGTGGCTTTAATTTCTCGTATACTAGTGTATTCGCAGTACGAAAGAAAAAAGCACTATCAGACTTTGTCGAAAATACACGTTTTACTGCGTGATAGCGAAAAAGTATTATCTTTAAGTGAGAGCGTAGTCTTCCGTGGCCGGAGTCAGTATTTACTTGGCTGTCCGGGTGACGCCGCGTCCATGGCGAAAGGTGCCGACGTTTCGGTCGCCATTCTGCGACCTTCCTCAGGGCGTAATGCGCGGAGATGTACTGCGCACGAGTTTAAATCGGGCTCAGTTTCTCCTACCAGAGTGCCGGTTGGCCGGCCAATGCGGAGAGTGCCGGTGCACTCCTCGCAGTACATCTCCGCGTATTACGCCCTGAGGAAGGTCGCAGAATGGCGACCGAAACGTCGGCACCTTCGCCTTGGACGCGGCGTCACCCGGACAGCCAAGTAAATATTATCTTTAAGACAATTCTGTGGGTCTGATCTGTGTTTGCCTGCCTGCATTTGGCTGTGTATGGGCCTCTGAGTGCGTCTGCTGGTCTGTCTGCGCAACAGTATCTGCGTGTCCGTCTGCGTACCTGACGGCGTTCCTATCTGTGTCTGCACGTCTATACCTCCGAAGAGCACTACCGTCCTTATCGTGTGAATGAGTAAATTCCTGAAAATTTTCCAAAAATACTTAGTTTCTGAAAGGAGTGACAATTTATTTCATTTTGATAGAATATAATACATAGAGTGACAATTTATTTCTGAGAAAAAGAAATCATTACCCCTCTTACAAGGACATACAATGTTTGTACATTAGGTAGACGAACGAAAATTCCTTAAAGCATTAACTAAAAATTAATATTAGACGGACTACTAAGCTGTCGATATACGTAGTATATTACTAATTGTTCATTATAACCTCCGAAATTTCTATATTTATCACGAAATGACAAGAATTAGTTGGTTACATATTGCAGTAATATATTACGCAACCGTGAGTACTTTTGTATTATGAGAAAATGATCATTTAGCACAGCTGATTTGATTTTTTTATTTCATTTAATATAATAAGGATGCTCATGACCTTAGGGTGAAAGGTGATCGATTATGAATGTAATGTTTACATGATTTACGTCGTAAGAAGCAACCATCATGCCACAAACACAGTGAAAACGTATCACTTGCGCGGGATTCGAATACGCAGCCCTGAGCTCCACATTCTGGACACTTTCCAAGACCGAGCAGATGAAGTCATCAAATTAACAAATACAGCCTAGTCTTTTCTATGATGTCTTATTTTACGTGGCGAGGCTCAAGACATCAGGGCTGCTTTTCCGCCTGACCAGGCAAATATTGCTACGCTGCTTTCGCCATATAGCAGGAAAAGGTCACTTGACAAAACAGGCGACTAAAATTCAATCCGCGCCTACTTTTAGGCTTTAGTATTTTTTTAAATGAGTAAATATACTGTACGGGAGAGCCAGCATCAAGTTCTCTAAAGAAGGCGTACGGTCTTATTTTTTTCCTCTTAAAAATCCACTCCTCCATAGGATTTGAACCCGCCAACTTGGTATAGGTATATTGTTACATTTGAGAAAAAAAAATATTGGTCTATCGTTTTAAATGATTTAAATGTTTAAATTAAATAGCTTTATTCATTGAATTCAATGTTTCCTACTCTCCTTACGAATGTTCAAAAGACAGAAAATTTACTCCAAGAAACGCTTAAGATTCTCAATCACGAACCTCTACTCATCATAGGATTTTAACGCCAGACCAATGGCCCAAAACCTCGTTAATATACCATTGAATGTGGAACCTACCAAAAATTCTAACGATTGCAATAAACATCTCAAAAACGACAAATATTTCGAAAAAGATGTTAATGAAATAATTTAAAGACTTAGAGGAAAATGTTTCATTAAGAAATATACTTGTAGCTGAATTATTCAAGATTTAGGACAGTTTATTTTGTCTCCTATCCCTCATTGTGCTCTGCGAAAAGGGATCTTCGCGAGATCTATTAGTCGTCCATATTGCTAATGTCCAGAAGACAAAGCATGAACCTCCTTAGTATCCTCTTATCCTTAGGAGTATCCTTAGGAACCTCCTTAGCACAAGTATTCTCTTTAGTAGTTGATCAAGGTGGACGAAAAATCTAATCATGATAGACATCTGACATAAAAGCTGGAGTACAAAATTGGTTCCAAGCTTATGTAGTACTTTTGAATGATACAACAATTTATAACTAATGCATTATTTTCAAATATTTTCGTCTTTGGTCAGTATAATACCGAGTTAACCCGTTGGTCCGAATAAATATTAGAAAACAAGCACACATGTTTTAGGTGGAATAACCTTATTCTAGTCTTGGGTACCTTATGTAAGTGCAGTGTACAATGAATAATTTTCAATATTCGCAGAAATTTAAAACCATGCAGCCTCAGACCTTGTGAGATGTTCACGGGGTTCGCTAGATAGCCAGGAATTTAAAAAATCGAAAAATAAAATGGAACAGTTACTGAATTCAGCGAAAAAATTTAAACATTTCGTGTCTATCCACAACGTCACAGAGCGCGCATCGACAATTTTCATACATCAATTCCCAGAAGTGCCACACTGCTTGCGACAGCTGTCACGCGAGAGCAAGACTCCAAGCACAGCCCACGATTGAGTGTTCGCTAATCGTTTTTCAAGTATGTTATTGGCTAAAGAAAGGACTTCAGTGAATAATATACTCTATTTATACGGGTCATGAGCAGTGTGCATGGCACTTTTTGAAAAACCATTGTGTGGTTTTGTCCAGAACTTTTGCCCAATTTCTCCATCACCTAGCTTGTTTTGCTGCTCTGCGATAGTTTACCGGTACGAAATTCTATTTCGCCGCGTTTGCCGTGGCCGCGGATCCCTTTCCTCTGCTATGCCAATGGACTGAGTTTTGAGCAACGGATTTCCATCACTTGCCGCAATATATGTAATTGCATTGTAACAAGAAATCACCGCACTGTAACAAGAAATCGCTGCAACAACGTCTGGACTCCTCGATCCACATTTTGGATTTTGCCAACGTGGCAAATGCCAGGGCCCATTTGTACACCCAATTTCGATTGTGCAAGCGAAATATTGGACAATTTTCCAATTTACCACAAGGAACCATATGGTATATTTAATAATTTTTAACCATTACTAATTATTGATATTAATTTTTTATTTATGTGAATTTGGAACAATGACAAGAACATCTCAATACACAAAATTAAAAATTTTAAAATTAAAATGTATTATTAAAAATGCGGAAATCACAAACAGAGCAGAACTCTAAAATTAGTATTTGTTGGGTACATAATTGACAAAATATTGTGTCAATTTTCGTGTATACAACTAACGAACGAAATTTGGGCTGAAACATTAAAATTTAACGCATTAAGAAAACTTTAGTTTGTAAAGGGAAATAAATCATTGTTGCTCGGTCAAAGAGTGTGGCTCGCTCGCACCCCTATCTGCCCCCAGAGAAAGCGGTGTCAGCGCGAGAACCCTGGATGCATCTCATTTGGGCGGGCGTTTCAGCGGTTTGGGCGGGGGCGGCGGGGCGGAGCGCGCGGGGGGCACTCGGCTGCTCGTACGTCCAGCGAAGCCCGACGAGGCGAACATCACTCTGGTGGTGATAGTGGTGCCAGCGGCGGCTCTGGGAGACGCGGCGCCGGGAGGGCCCGACGAGTTGTCTGCGCACTCCAGCGAGGGACGACGCGGCGGCGGCTGTGGTGGGGGGCCCATCGTCGGAGAGACAGTCGGGGACCCTGAAGGCGCCGACACGCTCACAACCGGGGGCGTGGCCGCCGCCGGAGCCGACGCTCGCGCTGGAGTTGATGCTGCTGCTGCTGTTGCTGCAGCCCGCTGAGATTGGCCTCTGGCTGCCGCACGGATCACGCCCGCCCTTTCCGCAGGGCCGGGGTGTGCGTTGACGCGCGCCGTGGACGGCCGGGGCGTGGCCACGCGCAGTCTTATCGCCGTGCGGGCCGCCACGCCGGTCCGAGACTTTGTTGGACGCGTCACGTCGACTTTCAGCCCGCCGGCTGGGGCGGACTTGCGAGCGGGCCCCGCCCTGGGCACCAGGAGGGCCGGCGAAGTTGCGCGTGGAGACGCACGGACTACGTTTGGCGGAGGTACAAGCACGTCGGTCCGAGCACGCGGGCGTTGGCTTTCAGCGCCAACAGGGGAATTCTTTGAAGGAAAGAAACAAATACAATTTAAACAGTATTGACTGGAAACTACAGATTGAGGACAGGAATTTAAAAAATGCAAGGACATTTTCACAAGCAAATTCTTTCATACGATACATCGTGTATCGTTAAACAATATCACAAAAATCAACATAGATACCCGTCAAAGGCGAATGAGCAACACTAGAAAATTAATTCATATTGAAAAAATATACGAGCAAGACGACTTTAATCTTTACAATTTAAAGCACAATTTAATTTATCGAAAAGTGCAGTAAACTAAGAACATTAAGCATATCCGTAATTGCATTTCACAAACACTTTTTTGCAGCAGAAAAAATTCGGACAAGCTTAATAGAATAAACACGTAGGGTCAAAACTTGTCCGTTTTACTATGACACTTTTTAAAACTGCCACAAGTGCGTTTCTTAATGTAATTTTATAAAAGCACCACCCCATCTATTTATAGATTTAGTAAATAGTCTTATTCCTTGTCTTACCTCTACTGGCATCGTCCACATCCTCAACATTTCCATAATCGCCGACATGTTTTGCATGAATCCCTCAGCTGTTTGAAGGGCCTCTTGTGCTCGTCTGGGCAGTAATAACGCCGTGTTGGCTTGTTGCCCATAACAATCATTCCCGGTTGACGGTTGAGTTTGTTCATTTCCGTCTCCGACATCGGCGGCAGAAACGGGAACACGAAATTGGGCTGGAGCAGAGACTTTTGCAGCTGGAGCAGAGACTTCTGCAGCAATAGCGCCTGCAGGAACCGCGGAAGCGAGGGCTGGAGCAGGCGTTGCAGTAGTGGTAGTTGTAGTGGTGGCAACGGTGGCGGCGGCAGCAGCAGCAGCAGCAGCAGCAGCAGCAGCAGCAGCAGGGGGAGATGTAGCAGTAGATTTTGCATCTGCAGCGGCGGCGACTGCGTAGCTTGGAGAACGAAGCACGCGCGTTTGTTCGGTCAGGCGCATATGTTCATCGAAGACAACTTTTGCGTCCTGTATAAAAAGTTCACAAGACAAACCACATTTAATATTAAATTAATTTAGAAAAAGAACCAAGGGTGCGAGAAAATTTGGACGCTGCGTATTTTTTTACTACGTAAAAGAAAGCTTGTACATTTTTTTCAGAAAGATTTCATCTGATAACGAAAGTCATTTGCTTCGGAAGAGGGTAAAGAAAAATTCAGTTCATGTCTTTACATAAATTTGATTCTAAATCTAATAAGATTTCGAAATAAAATCTAAATACCTCTTACGTTTTACTCGACAATTTGATGAAATATTAGAATTGAAATAAAGTTCTCTAAATATGATCAATTCAATTTTTGGTAGATTCCCTATCTTCATAATTTATTCGTTTAAATAACAGGATTTGTTTTACAATCCACTTCAAAATACAGCTACAGTATTGTGAAGATGGACGTGTCACGCTTTCTCCACTTCATTGCGAACTTACAACTAAAGTAAATTACCCTAAACTTTACTATTCATATTGCAAATTGCAAAAACATTCTCAATTTGTTGGGAAAACAATGAAAAATCTTAAAAGTCTTCATTTCTGAATGTAAAGTAAAGTATCTTCTCTCTTCCCCTTGCAACTTTATCGCTTCATTATTTAACATTCATTTTAAGAATTGAAGTTGGAAAATAGTTCGTGATAGAATATAATCCACTAATACGTGTCCTCAACCTTTATCACTGAAGACTGAATATGTTGATAAATTTTGTTTTTAATAATGTGGATTATTAATTACATTACTCTATGTAACAAAAATGTTATTTTTAACACCTGCCGCAATCTAAATGAATTCACTCAACTTGTAATAACTTATGATTCCTTATCTGAATCCTTTCTGCTTACATTATTCCTGCATTACATATCTCCTTCCGTTTAAATTTTATTTTTTATGCATTCTGTTTTTAATCGGTACGTTTTTAATTTAAAAAATAATTATGCATTATCAGGTGGAGACAATATTGCTCCGAAACATTTTCAAGGCCTTGTGAAGTAAATTATGTTTATGGAATTAATTTTATTTCAAATGAACTGATTTTCTATATTAAAGTGAACACTGACAGAATCAGACCATCAGTAACACTGGTAATAAAAAAGTATCAAAACACCTTCGTCAGATTTTGATCTTCCCACGACAATTGTAAATAAAGTTTATTATTTTCCCACGTCAAGTGTATATGTCAGGAGAAAATGTCTGAGGATAGTACCAATTTAGGAAAATTACCCATGTTGGATATATTCTTATGGTCTTCTGCACTTGTTTCAAACTGGCTTCATGTTAGCCTCAAAAAACGATTACACGTACTATTACACAAACTATATGTAGGATTATTAAGCAAAGAATACTTCCAATTGCAGATTTTTATTTTTATTTAAAAAATAAAAATAGCTCGACATTTCAGTTTGTCTAACATTATCATTGTCAATAGTTTTACCAGAGTTAATTGCCACAAACTAGTTGAAAGTAATGTTTATTATGATTTGTATTTCGAGTCCACGTCAATGCAACACAGTAAACCGATTTTTCACTCACCTCGTCTTCCGAAAGCTTCCCCTGGAGGGCGTAATCTTCCAGAGTGGAGGACTGGCGCCGCGGCGGGCCGATCACGCCGACCTGCGGGAGCTGGTTTTCCGAGCGCGAGAACGACTGCGACCCCGACAGCGACAGGCCGCTGATGTCTGGGAGAGGCGTGTCCATTCCTAGCGGCTCTCGAAGCGCCAATTCCCACTGCATGTCTTCAAGCCACAAGGGCTGGGACCTTCGTCGGGTATTGGAACCTGCGTATACAAACACCAACTCTTGTACAACAAGCGATGTCCATGTTCAGAACACGTACACGATAAAGAATACGGTTTGCAGAATCTCTTAACGTCTCTAGTTTCTCTCTCTTTTACATTTCTGTACAAATTTTGAATTTTTAGGACATTTACCTATTAAGAATTAAGAAGGTTTAATTATATCCTTTAAAAATAATCCTGAAACTAACTCTTTCAAATTATGCTTTATTATTCACATTTTTACATTATAACCAAAACCAAAAATATAAATTATATGTACACGTATACGCTACCGTGATAAGTTATTTACATATATTTTAAATAAGATTTGTGTAATGGTCTATGTATACAATGTAAATAACCCGCTCAATTTGGTATTACGTGCCTAGGCTACAAGTGGGAAATAGTTTTCGCTATCCAGTGGGTGATGCCGCGTTGGGAACAGTCTGGGTCTATCAAAGTTTAGCTCTGCGTCGCAAATCGCTTCCGACCGCGACCTAAATAAGTTGCTCGCTTAGGTAGAGGTTTTGCAACACTTTGCTCAACAATCTAATTGTCAAAAGTACTTCAAAACAAGACTGTGTATAGTCGAAAACTACAATCTGCGGGGTATGTCTAATAAAATTCCGAGGGTCCGAGTGTGTAGTTACGCATGTCGAAAATCGACATAATGTATTCTATAACTAGTGTGGAATCTATGGGATGCTTAGTATTTCTATTCATGGCAACTGTCCAAGCTCCGAATGTCTTTAGAAGGTTTGAAAGAATACAGTAGCCGTAATTAAGTGCCCAACAATTTAAGGCCTCCACTTATAATTTACGTTGCAACAATTTTGAAATCACTCTTTCATATGCATTATCCTAAATTACAAACCAAACCGATTGCTTATTCATTGTGCAAAAAATTTTGAACGTGTGAAATTGAGAACACTACACTTTCCATAGTATATGAAATTTTCTATAAGTAATAACGAAAAACCCAAATGAAAAATTATATAAGCTACAGTATTAGTTAAATGTCATTTTTATACCCAAGACCTACATTGCACTGGAGACTAACTCTGCACGCGCGTTAAATGTAGATCCAATTTTGTGATTTGGTAGAGAGTGTATTAATTTTATATTTCAGTTTGAATTAAACCAATATTTTGAAAACAAAGACGTTTGATAAAGTATATCGTATCTGTCACGTCAGAAGATAAATTCAAGTCTAATCCTGTTAAGTTTTTTTGTACACACGAGTCTTTCATAACAAGAGACTTGTCAAAAACCACGTTTGAGAATGAAGTAAAGACCTGTGTACACTAGAATTAGTAGTAATTATTAGTATTAGTTCCTCAGTAAAAATATCAGATTCTTCACAAGAGTATACAGAATGAAACATACGGAATACAGTTTCCTCACAATAAACTTAGCCCTGCAGAACGATTAGTTTCCTAAACCCTCCACTCTTATTTCACCACAGATATACTTTATTTTCTTGCTCGGCCTCCTCAAGGAATATTTTCAGATATTCTAAGGCTTAAACCGAGTGGCACTGAAGGTCGCGAGGTGGAAGGAGAGTTTCCGTCATCCAATCTGGATTAGATCAGTAGGCAGGTACTGAAAAAAAAAAGTTAACTGAAAATGTAAAACCTTTCTTCGAATTTGTTGTATGTACTCCGGCACTATTTAAAACCGTTTTCGACCTTCGCGATAACTCCGGAAGGGTGAAGTGAAATAAAATAAGTTTTTTTTTGAAAAGTTGCAGCTTTTGGAAACTGGTTTCTAAGAAATATTTAATACGAAAGTTGTTGGAAATTGTATCTCCTAACATCAAATTCAATCATTTTTCTACAGGTCTTAAGAGTTTGAGAAAACCCGGAAGAAAGTCCGAAACCACCGGTGTTTCTGACCTCTGAGTTAGCACAGGGTCTAGGAGGTCTAACACTTACTAGAGTCAGGGTAAAGAGCATATTTTAAGAAAAGCTTTACGACCATTCTCTCGGTAAAATTTTCTTCACGACTCCAATACAAAGCTCCAATACAAAAAATTCAGTCAACACAGCCCTCCATTGAACGACTTCTTCCTCCAACTCGTGCCCTGCCGTGCCCTTCCTCTTCTTCGTCCAGCTCGTGCCCTCCAGTGCCACTGTCAATCCGAGTAAACGAGGCGTACCTGGCGTGTCCATGGGCAGAACCGGAACGCTGGGCGTTCGGCCGCTAAGGGTCCGCGAGAGATCCTGGGTGGCGCCGCGAGCGCGCGCCGCCCGCCCCAAAGCCGCCGCGCCCCTGGCCGGCGTCGGCAGCCCCTTGTCCTCCAGCAGCTGCACCAGGAAGCGCGTCGCCGCGCCCACCACCTCCGCCACGTGCGACGCCACGTTCGGCATCAGCGAGCTGGCCGTCACGTTCCACGACTTGTCCAAGCTCTCCTGCGTGGACAACCCAAGCACCAACTGTAATTCGCCGCTTTCAAGTTACAAACTTAAGTATCGTCAGTTGCAATTTCCTACTGGGTCGGAATGTGGTATGTAAGCCAATACGAATGATTGTTTAACGGCGACGAGGTCATTCTAATAAATTTATTATCTTTTTAGCTGTAGACTACGAATGGAAAACCACTTCTAGGAGAAATTTTCTGCAACAAGCATTCAAAATAAGAAAAAAAATCAAATTATACTCCTAATTCTCTTCCCACATTGAACCCTTCAATTTCTGTCAAGTTTCTGATCAGACAATCGGACTGACCATATTTTATTTCGCGACGTATCGTTAAATGCACAAAATTTATTCGTATGTTAACTCAATTTTAGTAACACTTAAAACAAAACTTATAATCCCAATTGTAAAGAAAATTCTGTCAATATAACCGTATTAATAATATAACCGTTGTATTAGTGCTCCGAATTGAATAAAATTTACACAAACTTGGTAGCAGATCTTGCTCAGGTTACTCCATCGTAGTGGTAATTTTATTTTAAAGACAAGTTTAGATAATCAGGCTTTCTCCTTTTTTAAAAATGTATACTACCGTGAACTACTGAAGCTCAAGAAATCATCGTAGTATTTACTTCATATATACTTTTCCCTCATGTCACAGTTTGAATTGAATTTAATTGAATTGATGCCTTCTTTTACGTGGCGAGACTCAGGCCATGAGGCCTGCTCTTCCGTCTGACCGCGCAAATTTCGCTACGCTCCTTTCACCAACTAGCAGAGAAAGGAGGCATTTCTTGGGCGAGAAACAGGCGATTTGAATTTAGCTCAGGCGTCATTTAGGCTTGAGGATCTTTTACATGCAAGTAAATCTACTAGCATGGGACAGCCAGCTTTACTTCCCCTCCGAAGGAAGGCGTACGAAGGACTTTTTCGCCCTTAAAAATCCACGGCTTCGATCGGGTTTGAACCCGCCAACTTGGGTACAACAGTCCATCACGTTACACCATCGCCGCCGCAAATGGCAGTTTGCACTATGCATGACGTACACTTATTTACTGCATGACCAAAACAAACGAAAAAATTCAAGTTCAAACGAAAACAAAATATTTTAATATTTGTATTCAACAGTCGCCCTTGACACGCTGCTCGCTTACCTGGCTGGCGGAGGGAGACATAACGCACCACGCCGACGCTCCGTCTCCCATGGCCTCCTCAGGGCAGCGGCATTCGGCCTCCGACTCCAGCACCGCGCTCAGCCCAGACTTGGCGCAGGTCACAATCACCCGGCAGCACAGGGCGTTGCTGGCCGCGCCAGCACTGTGCTGGCCCATTGCTACGTCCACCAGACGAAAGCCAGTGGACTTTAGGATGCCCACGATATCTTTGGCATCTGGAACTAGCTGCTTGCCCTAAACACGTATGATCCGAGCCTAAACGTTGTTGCAAAATTAATTCAAATATTGAGCACAGGAAGCCTAAAATTACTTTTAAAATAAAGAATGAAGATAAAATATTGCTCGCTTAGAGGAATATTTAATACAATTTCAGCAGTACATTTGGATCAATGGACCCTAGTGTCTACAAAGTCCATTAAACGAATGCCGAAAGAATGGTGTGCTCCTGAGCGATATTTCTCTTCCTCCAAAACGTAACGGTTAGTTTTCATTTTGAAGCAAAAATATTATAGAACATGACACTCCAATTTTAAATCTCGTGCTTAAATTTGCTATTCAAAAACTCTGCAAGGTGCAATTTAATTTAGACCCATTCATGACAATGTATCTTACTTTTTCCTTTTTCAGCCCAAGGAATTTTCTGGCATGGTTAGAAGTACATTAATGCCTGGTACGTTACCTCCGAAGGCCAAGTCTGTATAAACCTTAAGTCAGTTCTTACATAACATTCGCACATATAGGACAGCTAAATACTAATCTTGTATAATTTGCATCCGTGAAGCGTTAATCGAAAAAGAAAACAAGTTTCGAAATATTTTATGTCAAAACGTTTCCTACCTGCACCACGAAAAACTATAATGAATGAATGGTCCAGTTTTACTTTACACTGAAAACCATTGCTTACCGATGCACATTCACTAGCTGAATCCTTAGATTCTCCGAGGAAGCTCATTACCCAACTATACAGCTTCCTCTTCACATTCATAACTTGCGAATACCGTGAGTCGACCGCCATCTTGACCAACCCTTACGGTTGTCACCCGACTGGACCGAGCAACGTACTGCTTTACTTCACCATAGACCAGGGCCCTATAACTCCCATATAACGTGGTGGGGACCATTACGGTGGCGCGCTCTTCTGCATCACCTTCTTTACACGAACTAAAACAGGAACTGCTGCCAACGATTCTTTAAACATGCGTGACTGCTACGTGAGTTCGCAGGTCGCAAGCAGGACCATAATGGTACAAAAGATAACGTCTACGTTCACGCTTTCTTCAGAGGTTTCTTACAAGTAGTGATTATGAATAATTGTACATTTAGAAGACACTTTTCGTATTTGTCACAAATTAGCCAATTTGTAAGTGGGAAAGTTGGCGAGCCTAACCGGCAGCTGCACCCGGCGACACCAGCGCTTCCTATAGTAGCAACCTCGAGCTTTGTCCCCGATTTTGATGGAGAGTTGCCGGGCCCTGCCATAGACACTGAGCTCGCAAATCGGAAAGGGGTATTCGGCGTCAAAGGAAATCACGTGACTTCAGCCTCATAAATCCCGTTCAAATGCATTCTGAACGTTGGCTATTCCGATCAAATTAGTGGAAAGTATTACAAGAATTTTTTGCAATACGCAAATTATCCAAAAACGTATATGAATTAAATGTTCGTTTCAATTTCTTCTTTATAATACTGTATGGATGTAACGCCTCTGATTCGTTTACAGATAGGGAAGAATTTTGGACATGAGTACAATCAATTAGAAATAGGTAATCAAAACTATTTTATTTTTTTTTCAATTATAGATAGATAAAACCAATTTCTTATCTACATTATTTCGATGATTAATCCGACATGAATTTTAACGAAAATAAACGATTAAAAAATGAACATTGTTTCAATCAGGCTCATTATTGTTCATTGTTAAAAACAAGCATGAAACTACTAAATTAAATTTATTGTCGAGAAGCAAATCACGCGACCATCTCAGTATTATCCAACTTTAACTGGAGATGATACAAAAACACATTATTTCTAACTGCTCCTCTGTATTAAACTACAATATAAACCTGCAAAATTGTTTTCATCCAGCAAATTTTCTGCTCCAAAACCTAAGCATAGATTTTTAGAATTAATTCCTCGTCATTAATTTATGGCTTTTCAGCATGCTTTGGTTCCTAGAATTTTCAATACGGCGAGCAGTCGGTCCTGACAAATTCGAAAATGTATATAAAGCTAGGCTTTGGCGCTAAATTCAAATATACGCAATTCGCAAAATGTTATCTAGAACTTCTCTAATTATAACGTTAATTTTAATCCACTGAATGTATTGAAACATTGAAATAATTATCATCGAGGCCAATTATTGGCATAATTTGGTCCCCAAACTCATGCTGAAATATGAGAAGTTTCATGTTTTATTTCATTGTAAAATACAGGCATAATTAGAGAACTTTGGAGGAATAAATTAAAGAATTACTTAATCACAAAGATTGTTAAAGTTTGAAAATAATGTAGAATGATTGAAATGAAAAGTTTAAAAAATGGATATCAGAATATTTGTTAAATATTGACTGCATTTCATAATTGTCCTGGTCCTACAATAATATATTTCATCCAAACATTCAACAATAAAAACTAAGGATGAAGAATCAAAACACTATTTATAATTTTTTTTACCAAGTAAATTTATTTCATAATAATTACATATAGAAATTTTTCTGTGGAATCTCATTCACACTATCCCTGGTCAGATGTATAATAAATTTATTGTTTTCACAATCTGTCCCATCCTCCCTATATTCATCCCAAATTTTCTCGGCAGGCTCCACTGCATTTTTCCAATTTGTAGATGACACCTTAAAAATGTAAGAAGTAACGTATTCATAACACTTCATTCAATTTAAAAATTGAACCTCCTTTTCCTTCTGGACATTCTTATTGAAGTATCCCTTGGCCTGAGAAAACACATATTCATTTGGATTGAACGTGCTATGACAAAGCAGTAACGTTTGAAGCAGTATGCCCTTTAGCTCCCAGCATTTTATCAACTACACACCTGTGGGTAATTCCTTTTAACACTGGAAACAAATTAATTTATACAATACTTAAAACATTTAAATAGAATATATGAAGGTCAATGTTAAAAGATGAAAATTAAATTTCATGAATAATAATACACTCCATTTACCATGTATCCTGACAATAAATATGTATTTTAAAAATTTTCATGTTTCGTCACGAGTTAGCAGAATTTATCTTATTTTATTTATGATACCTACATTTTAGATCTGCTCATGTGCTTTCTGAAGAGACTTAATAATAAATCTGTATTCTCATTGTGTACTACATACACTCTTTTTTGGGTCAGCCATGACCGAAAAATATAAAAAAAATTTCAATAATTTTCTGGAGTCAAGCATCACAAACACAGGACATTGAAAATTAAAATAAAATTAGCTCATCTAGCAAAGGTTGACAGACTTGAATTGTATAGATCTATCTTTAAATTATTACTTTTATTACCATATCAATAAATACTTGAAATAAATATATTTGTAAAAAAGAGAACTCCTTAAAGTAGAAGTAAAAAGTATAAGAAATGTATATACAAATGTAGAAATAGGCATTCAAATCATTAACACATGTATTCAAATATACCATGTCGAAAGGACTCATGTTATATAGGTCAACACCCCTATAAAAAGTTTACAGAAAATTAAGAGTACTAACATTATCAAAAAAATTGAATAAGCAAATAGTTTTTCCAAAATTGTATGATGAATACAAGAAGAATAAATGAGATGAATGACGAATAAATTACTTTAGTCTTACATACATCTTTTAGAAATTAAAATTAACTTAATATCACAAAATGCTAATTAACAATTTAATTTAAAGTTTATAACAATAATAAAAATACAAGGGAGATCAAAAATGATTGTCTATCTATTGAGTATTAAGTGCAGTGGTATCTCTTATTTTAAAAACAATCAAATCAATTCATATTTCAAGCAATTATTTTATTAGAATCTATGCACTATCACAACGTATTGCAACCCAGTTGGATGCATTGTTTGTTCTACAAAAAAAAAATGCTTGCTATTTAAAATTTGGAATAACATTATAATCAAACCAAAAAATAAAAGTAGAATTAAAATTGAAATTTCAAATACTAAATCAAAGGAATAAACTAGAACTATAGTTGTAAAAAAAATTCTAATGATATAAAATTTTTCATATATAATTACGAAGCACATGTCTTACTTGTGTAAGTCTTACTTGTATATCGTACTTGCACATGTCAAAATTGTGTCTTTTGACTTAGATACGACATTTGCCTATTATTTATTATTATTATTATTATTATTATTATTATTATTATTATTATTATTATTATCATGAGTTTGTGTCAGGCGCCTGAGTTGAACGGACGTGCTTCCATATTGTCTCGTGGCGTCTCTGCTCTATGCCATTCATGTGATTTTGTGTGATGTAGTGTCGTGTGTCGATTTGTTTTCATTATATTTGTGTACTGTCGGTTGCTATCTTAGCCTGTAGAATGATTAATTGCAATCTCTTCGGGAACTGCCTGGATGAAGCAGAAATGGTATGCAAAGGCTGCAACTTGACCTACCACTACACGTGATCCATATCGGGGGAAACGACTTTTCGGGGGAAATCAAAAAGAGAAAGAGAACTGTGGCGTTGCCAAGAATGCCGGGATAAAAGAAAAAAAGTTATTGCAAAACTAAGTCTAATACGTTGAATAATACTACGGAAAGTCTCTCCCCAGAGAATAGTGTTTCGGGTGCCACAGATTTAGAGAATCAAATTAATCAAATGAGTGATGATTTTAACCCAACAGTCAAGGATATTGTAATGAAAGAGCTGCAATCTATTAATTTTTTGTCGAAGAAATTTGATGAAATGAACAAAGCGTTCCAGGCAAATATTAATGAAAATAAACTTTTAAAAGAGGAAATAAAAATAATGAAAGATATGGTGCAAAAAAGAATGCTGAAATTGGGACTCTGAATGGTAGACTAAATAAACTAGAACAATGTAAAAAAAAAGAAAATCCGTAGAAATTCATGGTATCAGGAAGCAAGAAGACAAAACTCCTCTTCAACTATGCGAAGAAATTGCGGGAAAAATTGGAAGCAATTTGGAAGTGAGAAGTGTGCAACACGTGCAAATGAAAAGCTCTGCCATGTTGATGGTGAAATTCAAAAGTGAGCACGATCGAAATGACTGCATCTTCAAAGGGAAAAAGTGGTGGAACACTATGAACTATGAACAAAAGAAAGAACAGGATAGACTTTTCTTCAATGAAGCACTTACTCCTGAATTCGGAATCTTCACCTAGAGACCAGAATTAAAGGGAAAACCGCTGGTTTCAAATTCGTCAAAAGTGGTAGAATCCTCATAGGAAAACAGGACGATAGTGTTCATAGCATAACATCTATAAAAGAGCTAGAGGTGTGGCTATAAAAAAGACTAGAGAGATATGCAATTATTATGGACTGGAACAATCCAATAATAATTAATTCTCAAATTATTTTCAAAAAGTGTTCGGAACTAAAAGATTGGGAAAAGTTCAGAAAAGAGAATTCCATTAGTAATCACTATAGCTTAAATATCTTCCATGTAAATATTAAATCCCTACGTAAATACTTTAAAGAGCTGCAGATAATTCTCAATGAAAGCAAATTTGATATTATATGTTTAAATGAGGTTAATATACACGACGATGAGACTCATCTATTTAGGACTGAAAATTACAACGTGGTATACAACTTAGGAATCAGAAGAAAAGGTGGTGGCTTAATTGTATATTTTAATACTAATCTGGTATTTAATAAAATCAAATTTAGGACTAGTAACTTGGAAAATCTGGCAGGTTCATTCAAATATGTTGCAAACAATAAATATAATGTGAATGTAATCTTCATTTACAGACAACCAAATCTGAGTAAAACAGGGTTCATTAATGATTTAGGAGAACTAATTGATTGCTGTAATGCTCATGATTTATTTGTAATAGGTGATATGA